CTGGGACCCTCCTCCCAGACCCCTCTGGGTGGGGGCATCTGAAGCAGACAGTGGGGTCACTGACCACTTTGGTGACTTGGAGTTGCTGAACACAGCTCCTGAAGGAGGTGCAGTGGAGGGCAGGGACCATGGGGCCCCCAGGTCTGGACAGCTGAGTTGGGTGGGCGGAAGATGCTATGTCTCAGTTCCCCCATCTGTAATGGGGATTCAGTCTTGTGAAGGTTCAGTGAGTTAAAACATGTAAAGCTCATAGTTTGGTGCAGGGGTGAGAGTGCAGGTGTCCTGTTTTTGTCCTTCTAGCAGCCTGCTGGGACCCAAGGGATGGGGGCTGAGTATCCACCTGACCCTTCTTAGGATCTGTCATAATCTTCCAGGACCTTCCTGGGGGACCACCACGCTATAGGAAAGCATGGTGGCAGCTCCAGCTTCTCTTCCTGTCCTGTCCTTCAAAACACTTCTAGTCTAGATATACTGTTAAGGTCCTCTACATATCTAGGTCTCCCCCATCCTTTCTTCCTTCCTTCTCTCCTCTCTCATGAGAAAACATCCTTCCTTCTCTTCAGGGCTATCTGTAAAATGGGTGGAAAGAAATGTCTTTAGCACTCATACCACCACTTCTTGTCTCCTACCGGTGGCAGACATCACTAATCCATCACAGCACTCGAGCAGAATCATCAGCACAGCTCTCCAGGTAGCCTTTATCAATCAGCAAGGACAGTTTGCTACCCCACATCTATATAATGTCCAAAGTCTGGTCCAGCTCATGACCCTGGTCTTGCTGAGCCTTTGGGCAAGGAGTTAGGCGGGGTGAGGGGCAGAAAGGGAATATTCTAGATTTCAGCAGCCCTACAATCTCTGGCACCCTTTAAAAACCACAGAACTCTGGGTTACAAAAATCAGTCTTGCTCCTGGGAGGAGGGTTGTGAGTGGGGTGTGATGGTGGGGCTGTTTTTTATTTACCTATCACCAACTGAGGGACAGTCCCTGAGTGGCCCCAAGCCTCTCTCAATCTGCAGGCCCCCTGCGAGAACCCAGGGTAGCAGGGTTCCCACGACGCCAGAGCGTGGGAGCCACCCAGGCCCCCTTTTGATGTGGGATGCGCTGTTTCCTCCGAGTCAGTGAGAACATCCTCCTGCCCTGGACAGGAGACCGCTGCCCGCAGGCCTCCCGGAAAGGGGGCTGGCCTTCATTCTCTGCTCCACCCTCTTGGGGCCCCTCCTGACAAAGGGTCACAGGAATCCTTCAGGCCTTTGACACCTGCTCTGAACAGAGCCAGGCCTGGCTGCCGCAGGGCAGAGATGGGTCCCGCTGCCTTGCCCACCCTCAGCATCTGATCCTTTTCCTTCTCTGCTCTCAATGCCCCGTGGCTCCTACCTCGCTCCGAGTAAAATCCAACCTCTTTACCCTACGCCATATAGCCAGTACCTTACCCCTTGAACTCTGTTTCCCTCGTGCTCACCCCTCACCCACTCCTTTCCAGCCTCCCTGGCCTCTGTGACATTCTGCAAACATGCTTGGTGCATCCTCACCCCAGGGCCTTTGCACTTGCTGATTCCTCTCCCAGAATGCTCTTCCCCAGATATCTTCATGCTTTGCTCCCTCACTTAACACAAGTTTCTGCTCAAATGTCACTTATCTTCCCTGCCACTTTATTCTGGAGAAGCTTCTGTCTTTGCTCTTATCTTTTTTTTTTGTCATAGTGCTAATCATGACCTGATATTCTAAAGTCTTTGGCATGACCAGGCCTTTCCAGCCTCTGTAACCTCCTCTCCTATGCCCTCCTGTTCTCTACTCCAGACACCTCTGCTGTTGCTTTAAAATGCTGAGTGTGGTCTCCTTTGGAGAGCTTTGTACTGGCTGTACCCCCGGCCTGAGGCTCTTCCCACAAATGCTGAATGGCTCACTTGGGTCTTCTGCAACGCTCTCTCTCAGAGAGACCTCCCTTACACTAGTACATGGCACATAATAGGTGTTCAAGAAACGCTTGTTGCATGAATGAGGAAAGAAGACTGGATCTTGTGGGGATGTTCCGAGCAGACGGCCGTGCACGCGTGCTCAGGCATAGTCTCCCCACGCATTTTTTGCACACCTCGGGAGTGAACCTTGCAGCAGGTGTCCCAGAGATGTGGTTCTGCAGCCTCTGACCCCTCGGAGATTCTCTGCCAACATTCATTCTAAAGTGAGCATGCTAAGTCAGCATCCTGTGGGAACAGCCTGGGCAAACTTTCTCTAAGAAATTCCCAGAAATACTCCCCATCCAACTCCAGGCAGAGATTCCACGGCAAGGTTCTGGGGAACCCAGACATTTCCTGGAAACTGTTGCAGTGAATGTGCCACACAGAGACGGGCCGTGGGCGCCCTCAGGGGTCAGTCATTCCAAGAGCTCACAGGTCCCAGACTCTGCTGTAGAGTTTCAATTCTTCATCTAATCGCCCCAACAAGCCTGTGATATCCCGTTCTATAGAGAGTGAAACTGAGGCACAGAGAGGTGAAGTAACTTGCCAGTAAGTGGTAGAGCCTGATTTGAGCCCAGGATGTCACGCTATACTAAACCCAGTTCTCTCACCCTGGCTTAGAGACTGAGACAGGAGGCTGTATGTGAGAAAAAAATCTCCCCAAGATGAGTCTGGGAAAGAGAGATGGGGCGTTTGGCTCCCCTCTCTTTCCTTAGCCAAGGGAGAGCAAACAGAGATGCCTCGTACCTGCTCTGGCTGGCAGGCAATGTTCAAAGGCAGGATGAGATAACGCGGGGAGATTTTTCCTAGTTGCTGTTCCTCACACTCTTCCCTGCCCTTTCCTGTCTGGGTGCCTTTGTCACACGGTTCCCCCTCCCTGTCCCTACTATCTATTCCCAATTCACATCTTCCTTCTGAAGGCAGGTTCAAAGGTCACTGTCTTCATGAGGCTTTTTCTGATCTACTTCAAGCAAAATCCATAACTATGCTTTCTCTGAATTCCCAGGGGACTGTGTTTATCTTTTTTTGAGGACACAGACATTTCCTGTCTTGCTTTCTAGTTGTGTAAGTCCACTCCCACCTCTTCCACCAGACTCAGAGCTTCTGTAAATGCATCTGACCCAACTCTGTGATCCCAGGACTGAGGGTGAAACTTGGTACAAACGGTAAGTACTGAATGGAACAGTTGAGCCAAATAAGGAATTGGTCTACTAGTTCTCTGGTCTCTTTGTGGGGGCTGGGGGTGGCTAGCGTCCTTAGAGACAGTAGTTCTAACACCAAATGTGCCCCAGAGGCCAGGTTGGAGCAGGGATGGTGAATATATGACATGTGTACTATTACTGCCCATCCGGCATCCATGGCAGGCATCACCAATCAATCCCAGCACTCCTTTCCACTAAGCTAAAAATGTAACTTCAGACTCCCCTCAAGAGCACTCCAGGAAGTCATCTCCATTCAAGCAGGGGTGGCACATGACCTGAAATCTATTTGTCATTTATCTTGCAGATGATGGGACTGAGGCCCAGAGAGGGGAAGTGACTTCACTAAGGTCACCCAGCTGGTTAGTGGTGCAGCTGGCACCAGGTCCTGGAGTTTCTGAGTCAGAGGCCAGGGCTGAGCCCACCAGGCTGATCCATGGGGCCATGTGGAGTTGAGCCTGCTGCAGCCTTTGACCTGGACCCTGGAGCTGGCTCAGGCCTGCGAGGGCTGCACCAGGCACTGCTCAAGTTGGATACCTTTGCCTGTTCTGGCCTCTGGTCTCCGTCCCAGGCAACAAGGGGGTTCAGGACTCCAGGGATGCAGGAAGCCATACTGATACTCCCTTTAGGGCAGCTGAGTTTCTATCCATCTACCTAGGCTGGCCTCCCTCCCCCACCTCCCCTCCCTGCCCCCTGCAGGCTCCAGGCCTGTCACATCCTCTGATGATGGTTTCAGGTCCCCTGATTGGGCCCCAGGTGCCCTCTGGACACCTGACACTTACCCAGCGGCCCCTTGGGGAACCTTAGGAGGCTCAGGCCTCAGTCATTTGGGTCCAAGTGGGTAAGAAGGGGTCAGAAGTGAGAGCACCATGTCACAGGGAGAAGGAAGTTCAAGTTCCCTAGGTCTGCTCCTGCCTCCTGCCCCCATTCAGTGCCCACTCCTCCCCTTCCTGAACCCCTGATCCCCACAGTCCTGGGGCCAACCAGGTCCCCATGCCCACTCCCTCTGCAGAGCCCGAGGGCTAAGAACATCACAGTGAGCTCCAGGGAGCTGGGGTGCCCCAGGGGTCCAGCAAAACCCCACAAACCATCAACGGCTGCCATCTGGGGGCCTTGCTCACTTCCCCTTTTCTCGCTCCAGCACCTCCTGGGCTGCCTGGACAAGCCACTGAGCTTCTATGGGCGTCAGTTTCCCCTCTGTCAAATGGGACCTCTCACCTCTGACCCCTCCCACTCCCAGGGATTCAAGGGTACAAAAGTCCCCTGGAGAGAGATTTTGAGGGGTGGTTGTCATTTAGGGCCCAGGTTTCTCCAGAGGCCTGGGGACCTCCAGGTCACCCTCCCCCACCCTCCCTGGTCTCCCAGCCCAACCAGTGCAGTGCTTGCTCTCAGCTGGATGGAGCCCAGGCGAAGGAAGGGAGGGCAGGGGAGGGCTGGCGGTTCCCACGGCCTGGGGCTGCCACGTATAGGCAGGAGTGTGTGGTTTGGCCTCCCAGGGAGCGGGGCAGGAAGTGCTTCAGGTCTAGGGTTGGGGGGATGGGGGCGTTTGGTCTGACCTTGTGGCGAGGCACTGGGGGAGCCCAGTGACAGGAGAGGCAGTTACAGCCACTTCGGGGTAGGGAGGCCGGGAAAAGGGGGGGCAGGCCAGAGGCCCCGTGGGGACACAGTGAGGGCGAGACTTTTCGTGTCGTGCCTTTTGGGGCTTTGCTTTTTCTGAAGCATTTAAATGTAATACCTACTAAAGAGCTGGAGAAACAAAACGGGGATTCTTTAAAACATAAACGTCAAATCACTGCTGGAAATAAAAAGGAAAACACTCAAACATACCTACCACATCAAAGCCCACCTCCCCAGCTCGTCTCCAGATCCAGAGCGAACCTGTGACAACAAAGTCCCACCAGTCTGTCGCCAGCTCACAACCCTGCTGGCTCCCATTGCACGTGGAACAAAAGCCAAAGTCCTCATCACAGCCTTCAGGGCTCCACAGGCCCCATTTCATCTCTGACCTCCTCTCCCACCAGACGTCCCCTGTATCCTCTCCAGCCACACTAGCCACCTCCAACAAACCAGGCCTGCTCCTGCCCCAGGGCCTTTGCACAAGCTGTTCCCTCTGTTTGCATTGCTCTCTCCTCAGTTCTCTGTGTGGCTTGCTTCTCAACCTCCATTCAGTCCCTTCTCAAATGTGAGATTCTCAGTGAGGCCTTTTCTGACCACTTTATTTACAATTAACATCCCTCCCACCAACTCCCTACACCTGTCCCTTCTTTATTTTTTCTCTGTAGTATTTTTTTCTCTCTCCCATGTTCTAGAATTTATTTTGTCTCTCACTAGAATGTGAGCTCTGGGATGGCAGGGATTATCTGTTTTGTTCATTGCTGTATCCCCAGGGCCCCAGACAGCACCTGGCACACAGTAGTTGCTCAACACATTTGGGTTAACGAATTAAACAACAGCCAAACACAGGCTGTAAGGAAGGTAAAAAGAAACAGTAAATGGGGGAAAGATGATAGCTGCAGGGTTCATACCCTTAATGCAGAGGGAACGCTTGTAAATCAGTAAGGAAGCAATAAACAGCCAAGGAGACGGATAAGCAAAAGGAACAGGCAAGGAGGAAACACTGATGGCCACTAAACAGCAAGACGTGCTCAGGCTAAGAACCAGAGGTATGAAAACTCTAATGGCATCTCTATGGCGCCGATTAAGTTGGCGACATTGTACTAATCTGATAGGGACGTCCGGGGGTGCGGGGCGGTGGGAAGGCAGGGAGGGAGGCACCCTCTTCCACCGCTGGGGCAGATGTATATCAGTACAGACTTGAAAATACAGGCACGTTGATATCTGCCCTCATGTTGGCCTGTGTTGCCAGCCCCCCTTCACAGGTGCAAAAACCGAGGACCAGAGAAGGCAATGAGCCCCACCGGAGTCACACAGTGGGAGGAGATGCCTGAGCTGGGCCCAAACTCAGCCTTTCTGGGTTCATCCACTCCCTGGGCTCCCCAACACCATGTGGAATCAGGGCTGGGTATCTGATTCCACCTGGGACTCTGGCCCGAAACGTGGAGAGGGTGGGCGGGGATGGGACGCCCCAATACCCTGACTGATTGGGGTTTTTGAATGATTCCTAATTGCATGACTTTGAGCTAGTGTAAGACTTTCAGGGCCTCAGTTTCCTCATCTAAAAAATGGGGATAACAGGACCTGCCACCTTGGGTTTTGTGTGTGTTAAGACAGGCGATACATGTAAACACTGCGAAATGAAACCTGGGACATAGTGAGCGCTCAGTGAGTGGAAACAGGCCTGCAGCTGTCCCCCACCCTCTCCCCTCCACCACATGGGGTGGAAACTCTGAGTCGGCCCCACAGCTGTGTTCCAAAGTGCTGGACGCTGCCCTCTCAGGAGACAGGGCGGATCTTCCCCACCCCTGTGTGTCTGTCCCCCAGGCCCAGGCTGCCAGCTGGCTTCCCGCCCCGTCACAGGGGTGAGTGGAAAAACCCCGGCCCCAGGGACACTCTGGCCCCACTGGCTGTGTGGTCTGGGGGCAAGTCACTGCCCCTCTCTGGACCTCTGTCCTGAGATGACGATGGGAGGTGAGAAGGATGACAAAGAGTGATGTGAGAGTCCACTCCTCTCTTGTACACCGATCATACGTGGCAATTTTAAATGCATTTGCCATCAGCTCTGCTGAGCCGGCACGTGTGAATGGTGGTGATTTTTAGCTCCGTTTGGCAGATGGGAAAACTGAGGCCAGGAAGCCAAAGCCAAGTGCCTCTCTGTGCAGGGGAGAGGGAGGGGGGAGAGGAGGGAAAAGGGGAGGGAGATAGAGTGGCTGAGAGGGAAAGAGAACGGCCGGAGAGAAGGAGCAAGAGACAGACAGACAGAGACAGGGAGACATAGTCCCAAGGGGATACAGAGAGACTGAGAGGCTGAAACTCAAAAAGCGGTAGCAGGAGAGTCACAGAGACACTGCTATGGGTTGAACTGTGACCCCCTCTTGAAATCAAGTGTTGAAGTCCTAATTCCCTGAAACCCCAGCTATTTTAGAGACAGGGTCTTTGCAGAGGTGGTCAAGTTAAAATGAGGTTATTAGGGTGGCCCTAACCCGTATGACCAGTGTCCTTGTAAAGAGGAAACCGGGACGCAGGTGCAGAGGCTAGCCCATGGGAGACACAGGGAGAAGGGGCCCATCTGAAAACCCAGGAGAGAGCCCTGATGAGGAACCGACGCTGCTGACAGGGTCTTGATCTTGGACCTGCAGCCCCCAGAACTGTGAGACAATACATTTCTTTTGTTTGAGCCCCCCAGTCTTTGGCACCGGGCAGACTGACAGACACAAACACAGAGGCGGAGAGACCGTGGGAAGGGTTATGAGATGCCCTTGGGGTTTGGGAACCAGGAAGGAGGTGGGGAGCCTGGCTGCCTGCCTCAGAGTCCGCAGCCTTTTCCCCTCAAAGGCTGCACCTGGGTCTCGGTTGCCTTGGCAACGGGAAGCTTCAGCCTGGAGGAACCAGGGTCTACCATCCCCATGCCTCCTTCCTCCCACTCCCCTCACCCAGCGGCAGACTCCACGTGTCCTGCACCCACCCCCAACCCTTGCTCTGAGCCAGGGGTATTTTTAGCTGGAGTTCCTGGGAGATGAGGGTTGGGGGGCCTTGACACAGACCTGTCTGGCTGGGGAGGGTCTGTTGGAGGGGCAGAGGTGAGACTGGGGAGGATCTGCATGGCTGGGGAGGGATGAGGGAGCCCTTGTGAGCCCCACATACCTCCTTTCCAGGCCCATATCTGGTCTCAGAGAGGATCAGAAACAGCCCAGGAAGAGGAGGGGGAGTGATACAGACTGGGTGGGGGGCACATGGCTGGGAAGCAGCAGGCAGGCAGATCAGAGGAGGACGTGTTTAAATATCAGCACACCCAGGGAGAAATCTTTCTTCTCCCCACAGCCTTCTTGAGCTCAAGCACACTCTATACCTCCCCACTGCTGCCAGCACCAAGGCCAGGCTCTCCTGAGGCTCCACAATGTGGCAAAAATCTCAGCCCTTACTGTTCCACCAGGGAGCCTCCATCGCTGCGTGGTCTCCACACCTGCTGGATTCATTCCCACCCCAGCCCCTTTGCACTGGCAGTGCCCCTGCCTGGCACTTCACCTCCTGCCCTCCTCACACCTCTAGCCCTTTCCTGAACCTGCCATGTCCTTCACACCCCATTGAAGTTGTACACACTGTTCCCTCTGCCTGGAACAGCCTTTCTCCAGGTCTGGCTACCTTCTCAGTGGGGTCTGCCTTGACTACGCCATTCCCTCTCCCCCACACCACCCTGTCCCACCACCTCCCCAAGCACTTCCCTCTCTCTCCAGAAACTGTTCATTTACTTGCTCACTTGTCTGTCTGTCAGTTCGGACCCCGATTATCTTGTTCAGCTCTGTGAACACACACCCACAGTACAGATTTGGAGAACTGATACTAAGCAATCAAAGCTGAGTAATTCTCAGCTAGCCCTAAAACAGTGGTTTTCAATAATTTCATCAATGACAGAAAAATTCATTTCACCTGGGAACCCATTACACACATGTAGAAATAATGCAAAAAGTTCATGGAACAATTTTTACTGTTACTATGTATGACACATGCTAATATATTCTATTCTATTTCATTCCATTCTATTCCCAGAAAATTCTGGCTACAACCTTCTGATTTCATAATCTACTAGTGTGTTACAACACACAGCCTTGGAGAGAAGGTTCTCGAATTCTTGCCGCAAAGGTCCCTGGGACTTTCCTGGTCCTGCCCCTCCCACGTTTACTCCAACTTGCTGTTCCACTCTTCTTTGTCATTCTGGGGCCCTCCAGCCTTCCCTCTTCATAGGGGAGCCAGAGCCAGGTAGCTATGTACAAGGAGGCACAAGGAGTACCCGTCTGTGATGCCCAGGCGGGCAAGTCCCTCCCACAACGTTTCCCAAAGAGGCTTTCCCCAACCTCCTTAGGTCTCCTCTCTGGGCCTGCAGGAGGCGTGACCTGGAGGGGAAGGGGAAGGGGCGGGGAGGCAGGCAGGTGGCAGCTGCTGTGGTCTGTTCCATGGAAGATTACAGCTCCCCCCAACCCCCACATCGACCCTCCTCCTGCGTCACAACAGTAGTCCTAACAGCCACCACGGGACTATCACCGTGTGCAAGCGCTACATTCAGGCTCACAGCTCCCATTTGACAGATGATGAAACTGAGGCTCAGTGAAGGCAAGGGACTTGTCCAAGAGCTCACAGTTCAGGAGTGGCTGCCAAGAGGGGATCTGAACCCAAGCAGTTAGTCTCTCAAAGGGACAGAAGGCAGATAGAGCAGCCTAATTCAGGATCCCTCCCCTTCCCCAGGCCTGTGTCCCTGGGTGAAAGGGGAGGCCTGGATGTGATGACCTCAAAGGCTGTCTCCAGGCCTGACTTGTGCCAAACTCAGGTCAGCATGGTCGCTATGCATTCATACAAGCAAGCAGAGCTGGCTCTCGGTGCCTGCTCCTCCTCTTGAGCCCCCAACCCACACCCATCTGCTCTTCGCCCTTCTGGTCTCCCTCAGGGTCATGGTCTTTGCTCCTCCCTCTCACGATCAATCCTTCAGGGTCTGGTCCTCTGCTGGGATTAACCGAATCTGGGCTCCAGGGACAGCAGCTGACAGGCTCACTGGAGCCTGGACGCCTTAACCCAGGGACTTTCAAAGCTGGGATGACCCAGGTTCCCTTCCTCAGTGAACAGAAGAGATTCCAAAAAGGGCTGCTTTGGTTAAAACAAGAGCGGAGAGGCTGGTCGCTTTATGCCTGACTTCTTAGCCACCACCCTCTCCTGCCACTATCCCAGGTCACCCCAGGAGTCCCTGAAGCTTGAAAACCATGGTATTAGCCTCAAGTAGGAACGATATTTCAGGTGCTGCCTGGAGGCAAAATATTTTGGACAAGGGGCTAATGCCTGTTTGAGCCTCCACCTGAGATGGGTATGGCCTGGGGCCGGAATGGAAGCCCTCTAAAAATTCAAAGACAACACGGCACAGACTCTGGAATCCACAAGTCTGAATTCCAGTCCAGGCTTCCACCTGGGTGGCCCTCAGAAGGTACCATACCTCTCCCAGCCTCAGTCTCCCTAGCTGTAACAAGGGCATGGTAGAATTTGGAGGAGGGGGTAATAGACGAGGTGGTGTAGATAAAGAGTTTAGCAAGTAATAAACATGGACTAGACACCATTATTGTTTTTGCTGTGGCCCCATCGCTTGTGAATTGCGTGATCTTGGAGATGTCAGTAACCCTTCCTCTGCTTCATTTCCTCATCTGTGTATTGGGGATGATGGTGGTTCTTATCTCGTAGAGTCCTTATGCCTGGAGGTACATGAGCGTTAAGGTGCTGGGTCCATGCTTAGCATAAAGTGAATACTTAATAGATGCTAAATATTACTTATGATTTTTAGAATTA